TTAAATTAAACTTAACTACCTAACTAACCTTTAACTTACTACTTACTACCTAACGACTTCGTACTAACTACGTAACTATAGTATAGTAGTGTATATATAAATATATATATATATATATATATATATATATACACACACACACACACACACACACACACACACACAAATACAAAATTACTACCAGCCAAAGTAATTGCCTTGGTGTGATGTTTATCATCAGATGGAATTAAAGCACACAATCATTTTTAAGATTAAAAAATGATGTTCTGATCTTTCCGGGTATCATAACTTATGATTATGAGCAGGATAACTGGTGGAAATACAAGAATACAATTTTTGGTTCACAATAAAAAAAATGCTTTAAGTTAATCAAGGATCCACCGAAGTCTGCTGAAATTATTCTGTCCGGACGACTGTCCTTTGCCCATTAAGTTACACTTACATGTAATCTATCACACGATAACATCAGTTACTGTTAAGAAATATGTGAGTGAGCAGGAATCCTACCGCTCAATAAACTGAGGGTCAGCTACATCACAAAGTGAGAAGCGTTTCTGCTCAATCTTCCTTCTCAACAAGAGACTCTGACAATGTCAAAACAAGACGCATTGAAGGCACGATTGTGATTCTGTGATCAGGTGGCCTGGGGTCTCGTCCCAACTCCCCACCTATGACCTCTGAACCTCTTTACACAGCAGTTTTCTCATGTGCAAAATGGAGCGAATACTCACTTCGTAGCACTTTTGTTATGAAAACTGAGCTACTGAGTGTGACCTGCCTGGCAGGTGATGAGCCCCGTATAACCCATTCTCGTTCCCGTTACTATGTATTCATTGGGAGCTTCCCACGCCAGACAGTGCATCAGCGCCATCAGTGACAGTGCCTGCTTTGTCCACATACTAACAGAAGAAGAATGGATAGAATAATGCCCTAGAGTAAAAGGTAAATTGACTTTGACTAAAAAATAAAGGACACTTTCTATATCTCATTCTTGATTAGCTGTGTAATTCTGAATCTCAACAAAACATCTATGTTTACTTTAGCTGTGCAAACAGCCTGCCCTTTCGAATCTAGGTAGAGGAGAAAGTTCCACCCACTCTGGGAAACGCCAGCTTGGAAGCCTGGGGGTGGTTCACCAGGGAACTGGGAATAGTCTGGGCAGTTCCGGAGGGTGTGCCGCCGGGCTCAGTGCACAGTGGACAGAGAATCCTCCTGGGAAACACGTCACCAAAGTGATGGGGCTGGGTCGCAGGTCTGGGCCGTGGACAGCAGGCCAGTGCTGTGGGAGAGGAACGGTCTAGCCTGGGGTCCTTGAAGCCCATCAGCCTCTCCCGTGGGTTTATGGAGGAAAAGGCTGAGGATACAAATCCCTGAGATGTGAAGACCTTTCCTGTGGCTTCTCCTTAAGGGGGCAAAGCACAAGTGGAGACATGCAGAGATGATGATATTACAAAGGGCACTTTCTCTACTGGGGTTACTTCTGGAGCATGCATGAGGACAGACTGTCCAGCAGGAAGCAGGGAGTAAGGAGGCCTGACTATCGGCAGTTGACCACCTACTGGTATGGGAGACTCGGGTGTCCTAGGGGCCAGACCGCCAGATCACGCCTGAGCAAAGGGAATACAAATGGCAGAATCGTGCTGAGAACACTATGCTCCTGATGTCCCCTCAGGGCCCCAGGATCACACCACTGCCCCTCCCTCGAAAGGAAACCAGCTGCCCTCATCTAAGTCTCAGAAGGCAGCTGCAAAGAAAAAACAAGAACTGGTTAGAACCAACTAGGCCTAAGATGGCGGAGGAGTTGACTTCCAGTGACCTTGAGCCTCTTCCACCCACTGTCACACATTAACTCCTGAATCACACGCCCACCACGGCAGCTGGCCATCACCATGACAACAACCAGAAAAGCCAAGACAGTGACTGAAAAGTAGTGCTGCCTGAGTTCTGGCTCCAGACCACACCCCTGTTCTGGGAGCAGTCACGACATTCCTCCCGCTCTTTCCAGCTCCTTCCCTTTACCTCAACCCTCCTATCAAATGGTGTCTCCACCCGAAACGGGCTGAGAGGCTGACCTGTGAACTAAGTTCCTGCTTCTCCATTCTCTGTCACTGAATGAAACCTGTGCTGTTCCAACCTCAGCATGGGTTTCATTACTGACCATGCAATTCATGCAGAAAAAGAACCTCCCTGGCCCAGACAAGGGGGCTCAGCCTGGGCTGCTTGTGAAAACCTTAATCCCCAATGTATCTGAAGATAGGATCTCTTTGGGAGGTCACTAGGTCATGAGGGTGGGGCCCTCGCAATGGGACTAGTGCCCTTATAAGAAGAGGCAGGAAGAGTTTCTTCCCTGCCCCTTCCTCCCTCCACCTTCAATTCTAATCTCCCCCTCTGGCCACGTGGATCCACTGCAAGAAGACAGTCCCTCTGCAAACCAGGAAGTGAGCCCTCATCAGACGCTGACAGCTTGATGCTGGGCTTCCAGCCTCCACAACTACCAGGGGTAAATTCCTGTTGCTTAAGCCACCCAGGCTACGGTGCTTTTGTTACAGCAGCCCAAGCTGCCTAAGACCAAAGGCCACTCCTTGGGCCTGCTGGCGATGCTGCAGTCTCCCTGGCATAGAGGATTTGGAGATGAAAAGACATGTTGGCAACCACAGCACCGCACAGGCACAGTCACTGCACAAGCACCAGACTATCACATTTATCGTCTGGAGCAAGTCTTCTGCTCTAACATGGTGACTGTAGTGACAGATGCAGGCATGGACCGCAGCATAGGAGGTGAGGCTGCGAGCACACGGAGTGGGTGGGTGGGGCAAGGCCAATGGGAGAAGGTGATGCCCGTGGGAGTAACCACCCGATGGCTGTGCTGAACTGCACGCTGTAGAAACATGGCGGCCGTGCTCCCCACCAGCAGCCAGCGCACCTTTACTAAACCCCACAACAGCAATAAAAGAAATTTCACGTTTATATTCCATTAACCAGGCATTTCCCCACACACTGGTCAAGAGTACAGAACGTTAACAAACACTAGTTTTCTGATGCTTAAAGGGTTCAGTTCAGCAGCGACACGAGTCAAACCCATTACAATCAGCCAAGCACGGCGCAGTCACTGTAGCGCCTGCTGAGCCCCGTGCTGTCCACCCCCAGAGGTCTTACCGTGCAACCAGGGCGGCAGGCCCCGAAACAAAGGAGACAGCGAAGAGCTGCTACTCCTCTGTGGGCAGGCCGTAGGCGTCACCGCCATCACACCCAGGCTGCTTCGGCCCATTTCTGTGTTTGGCTGAAATTATACTAAACTGTAAATTCAATGAAGGCCGAAACTCCCTTTGCCAACGTCTGCTCATGCAAGCCCACAGCAGGTGTTCAGTAAATTTGCTGACTTCAGAAATGAATTGATGCGTCTAAGTCTTGATTCCAAACCTTCACTGTACCATCTTTAAGAGGTTATTTATAGGGCATGAAGGCATCTGTCCGCACTCCTCGTGGGCTGTTCAGCCTCCCTGGTACATTTTCCTGAAAAAATGATGATTCTCGATTCTTCTTGCTCCCTGTATTCTGGCCTTGTTGCCATCAAGGTCCTCTCTATCTAACCTCCTTCCTTACCTGAACCACCCTGAAATGTTCCCTTCATCTGCTCAGAATCACAGCTTCACCTTTGAGGCTGAAAACCTCTCCCACCACTAAAACCCCTCCAGACCCATCCTTCCAGCCCCGCCCTTGAGGCGTCTCCAGCCTCTACTTCGGTTTTACTTCCTCCGCTTTCAGTGGCCACTCAGCAAGAATCTTTGATCAAACCCAGACTGGCTTGGCTCACCACACACGTGCGGCAGAATATAGGTCCCTTCTGAGCCGTTCTGGAGCAAGCCAATCGGAGGTATTACTATCACAAACAGTTCCTTATTCTCAAATGGACTATGATTCAAGAGTCTATTTGTAAGTTAGTTATTGGGCACTTAGAATCTATTTTCCCAAAGGAACGATGTTACAGATTGTGGTTGGATCCCAGGGCCCGTTAATGCCTATTTAGCCTCGTTGCTAAAATTTATACTGAGGTCTCTTATTTTAATAAAAAACCAATTACTGAAAGTTACAGT